CCCCCCCCCCCAAAATGAAAATCTGTCATTTTCATTCAAGAGTGCAAATTTTTCACTCCTTTAATATTGGCAGTATTTTAACTCTTTTGGAGTGAGATTTCACTCCAAATAACAAAAAATTTAGAGAGTACAAATAGAATTAGGTGAAAGAATTTAGAGTGTAATTTTTAATATTTAATTAAAACAAAGATTAATATTTAGTAAACATGGATACTTAAATATTAATATTCGTCATGATGTGTTATAAGAAATAATTTTTCGCATAAACGTCTGGAATCACGAACAACAGAATTTTACAGAAATACTTTGCGTTTATTGTATACGATAAAAGTACAACCATGGCGGCTTGAAAGCGTAATATTCGCATTGGAGGCATTTAAATATTTGACATCTCCTCGCGGAGCACCGCAGCGCACCGGAAGCTTTCCAGAGCGCATTTATATACGTTAAATTCAACTTTCTTCTTGACGTTACAGAAATCCAAGAGGTACTATTAAAAGTAAATTAACACTGTTAATATCCGCATCAATATTAATGTTAACGTCATAATTTACTAACATATTGTTTTGTTAAACGAGCAGCCTGTTTATGCAGGAATTAATTTCAGGCATCGAGTGCTGCATTTATTACAATAAATACAATAATAAATAGTAAAACAGGCTTGATCGGCGAAATTAATTTTGCGCGCGAAATCGATTTTCGCGTTGACCGGGTAATTTTCGAGGGAAACGAAATTTTCAGAAAGATTCACGTTCACCTCGTGATTCACGTTGAACGAGCACGTAGATCACGAGAAAGACCTGCGCATTCGTCGATATTCCGGCATTTCTAAACGAACGTAGAAGGCAGAAAGGGTTACTGTTTCATGAATTAACCATTTCTCCCCCTCCCCTTCATCGTTTCCTGTCCAGTGCTCGAATACCAGTGACCACTTTACAACGACTATTATTGGAGTTACAACCGCCCCTCGTCAACGATCCGCAATCGGGTGGGACGAATTTGCTTCTCGTTGTGTAAATTTGAACTAATCCCCACCCCCCCTGATAAGCTTATTTTGCGCCCTCTACATGATTGCATTGTGCGAAAATCGCGTAACTCATTGAAGCTATTCAAGGAAGAAGCGACAAGCTGATTTTTGGAAAAAAAAAAGGATATATCGATATGAATATTTTTTTTATCAAATTCTGCATTTTTCTTTATAAATAGGAACATATTTAAATTATAGGCAGCTTCTAAATAATATTTTTAAATATAGATTCTAATGACAGTCAAAATTATAGCAATAACAATAAAATATTTTCATATTTATAAAAATATCTCAGATATTACTAACTAGACATATATTGTACAATCATTGTTATAGAGATTAATGACTGTTTAACAAATTTTACAAAATCAGTTGATAAAAATCATCGCTTTTGAATAGTATGAATAGTAAGCTATTTGTAAAAGCTTGGAGAATTGAATTTTTTACACATATAATATGCATACGCAGTTGCAGTGTTTTACGCAATTGCATTAAGTAAATCTCCCAGTTCTTCGTAAATGATTTAGTCGGTGAGAGCTGGAAATTGTCGAGAGACACAGATTTTCTGGAAAGAGACAGGATTAACTGAACGCCCACGTTCTTTCTTTCTTCATCGGAATTTCGCGGAACAGCATCATATATACCGGCACGACGCGACGCGGTTACGACTTATCAATTTATTTCTTTCTGGAATCACGAAGGTCGACAGTTTCCCGTTAACGAGGTTCGGTATATCTTCCGCGAAATGCAACAAGATCTTTCGCTGAAAAATTCATTCGAGCGAATTTCTCTTCGAGAGAAATCGGAAAATATCATACATTCTGAAAATTCGATTTAGTGCGAGATTTACGTGGTAGAAATTGGAAGTATATCTGTATTATTATTACATCCACTCTCCTCGTTGTGTCATCATTATTGAAATATAATGAGAAAGGAAGGATTTCGATAAAGAACATAGTTTTACGGAAACGGGGAACACCGGAAAAAGAATCGCGTTGTATTGCATTGATTAGAATTCTGGTTGAAAAGGGACAAATTAGAATTTTCTGGTTGAATCTATTATAATTCTAATTGAGATAAACCAAAATTCTTTGTAATCAGAATTTTCTAGTTAGTTATTTTCAACTAATACAAATACTGTACATTAACTAATACAAATTCTCACAAGGAAACCCGTAGAAGTGTTTTTTCCGCTTTTGATGTCCTTCAACTTTGAATATGTTATTTTTCAGGCAAAAATAAGAAACATTAATTTTTTTACAAGGACTCAATTTTTAGGGAATGCAACCTCCCTTTAAAGAAAATCAGTTTTTTTCTTTCGAAACTAATATCGTTGAAACTGTAATAGACAGAAAAGAATGTTCCGAATAAATGAATGGTTTGAAAAGTATTTTATAATAATAATTAAGAAAATTTGTTTAAATAAAAAAGTTTTTATTTAACATCAAAAATTAAAAAATGATTTTATAATACAAATAATTCGTCGATAATCGTGAAATTCCGTGGTATTCCTCTTGTCAGTAAAAATCGTCGATTTCTCGTCTATAAAGTCCGTCTGAATTTCGGTTGAATCCTCGTATTTGAACTTGTTAACGCAGTGAGTTTCGACCGAGTTTGTACGTCGACGCTCCATTGAGCAAATTAATGAGGACCGCGTTACATTATTGAGCCACGCAGGCGCGCACGTGTGACATCATCGGCTGCACGTAATACTAAACCGTTGTAATATCGTGATCTGCTCACCCGATGAACTACTATTAGCGTAACGCAGATTGCGCAACATTATATCCGAAAACCGCTTACGATTTTATTATGTGCAAAATAGACTTTAATTTTCAATCGATAGGTTCTTTGATCAATTTACGATTCTTTGCCCACAGCGCGTTCTCGTTATTTTATATATTATAATCT